TCGTCGGGGAGAAAAAAAAATTATATATATTTTCTACATTATTAGTAGACTATAAAATCGATTAAATAAGCCTTTGAAACCCCTAAATTGTCAAAATTTTCTGGGCTTCGCCCCAAGGACCAGTTTCGAAACCTTTTAATCGAAGCTCAACCACGCCCACTTTGCTTTCGTCGGGGAAATCTAACCCCTCGTAGGGGAATCGGTCCACACGTCGGGGACTTCGGCCCTCCCGTCGGGTAAATCCTGGCACCACCCCTGCTGGATAGTGGACACCGGCGCTATAGAAGTTTCCAGAAATATTAATACAGATATGAGCCTAGACACGCACAAGAGGTCGACCTATGCTAGACGTTACTAACACACTATGGGCCCCGTGATATTTAAATGCCCAAACCGATATTTTGGGTGGATTTATATTTATTAGACCCAGTAGAATTCCAATTTGATGCAATATTCAACGTGAGAATAGAAAACTGTCTATAACTCCACTTAGACCCTCATGAATCGATTCTTGGTGGCAAATCGCATATTATAGTATCCAACATCTAAATACTGTATTGCAAACGAGGAAAAGTTGAAGCGATGTGCTCTTAGGTGGTCATATTGAATTTCAGGATGGTGGCAATTTAAATACCATATTTCCTTCCAAAATATAGCATTAAGTATTGAAATCAGTCTAAGGAGAAAAACATATCAGTTAAGCCCCAGTATATTGTACGAATTCAGTATTCAAGTATAACAAAATGATGTGTAGATGCTGAAGTCTAGAAACTAATTCCTATTTTTGAAATTTATTCTCCCTTGAACATAGAGTGAATGCTTTAAATGTCAAATAGACATTTTATAGTTTGGCAATGTTAAGAATGATTAATGTATAGACATGTTCAAACACTTGTCTCATTGACTGTAACCCCTAATTACATTACATTCAATTCAATTTAAGTTATTGCTACCTGAATTATCATTAGCTATTATCCACTTAACAATAGTTTAAATAATCAAGTGCAATTATAATACATAGATTAAGACAGTAAATAACAAGGCATGATGGAAAGTTCAATTAATATTACACGATAACAGTATAACTACCTTGCTGTCATAACATCCTTTCGTCGTTCATCACACAGAAAACCAATTACTACATGATTACCATCATCAATCATGTCATCATCACTATCTTAAGTATTGATTTACTCTCTTCACTGCTACTGCCACCACCTTACCACCACTACTATCGGTACCATCTTCACATGGATTATTATCAACAAGCTATTCATAAAAAATTAACCTAGGCATTTTCTGTCATACAATTATATATATATATATATATATATACATATATATATAATATATATATATATATATATATTATATATATATATACATGCACCCACACACACACACCCACAAACATACATAAAACACATACACATATATACATATATATATATATGTATATATAGAATAATAATAATAATAATAATAATAATAATAATAATAATATATGTATATATGGTTTGTTCATTTTCGTATTAGCAAGCAGCCATATTTGTAGTTGTCGCAGCCTTGTTACCTTTACGGTACGGTACCATTATGGTAGCTATCACTAAAATTAGCATTGTTACCCTTACAGTAGTTATTATTATTCAAGGTAAAATCATGATAATTATCACTGTCTAGTTATCACCATTGTACTGCAGTTTATCATTAGACTTCCTAGCCTTGTTCAGGCATAACGGTGTACGTCGTGGTAGCTAGCACTACGACTATAAGCATTTTACCCTTATGGTAGTTATGACTTTGGTAGAATAATGGTCGACGGAATTTCCTTTTTATCATCACTGTAGTTAACAATAATCTCGATTATGAATTGTATTATAGGGCTAATGATAACTGTCATTATTAGCATTGCTACTCTTATATATATAACTCTTTACCAAGGTACAACCATGGTAGTTATTATTAAACTTGTCATCATCTAGTTAACACATTATGCCTTGTTTATGACTTCTGTTCTTATTACATTATGGCGGTAATTATGTTACTATCTGGTTAGATTACCGAAATTCAATTCACCGAATGTCAGATTGCCGACTCAAATTGTAAAACCAAGTTTCCCGAATCTCACTTTGTTACGGCAAAGGTCGTCGGACTAAAGAACAATGCCTATCAAATTAAAATAATTGTGTTTGCCAATGTTGTCATCCTAAACTACTAGGGATGTTACTCCAGTCACCGAGGTTCTAGGCGGCCCCTGTCTGTGAACTTTTGGAGACACAACTACGTCCAGAGCCACCCATCATGATAAGCAAATTAGGATGCTCTACCTCCTTGTTCAACGGCGTTGGCGATAATGGGCCGTCGATATACCGTTTTAGCAGAGTGAGGCGATATTCGGCAAACAGGGTTTAGCCAAACTGGGTTTCATGATGTTAATATCAGCAAACTGGTATTCGGCTAACAGGATTTCGTCAAAGTGGAAGCGGCAAATTGGTCGGAAGCTATATAGATTTGTAGTTTAACCCCTCTATCAATTATTGGTAATAAGTGTCAGGTCTTAACATACTGTGGCATACGTTTTCAATGGCGCTCAATGCATACCGTACTCTAGAGACAGATAGGTTTTGATCTGTGCCTAGTAACTTGCAAATGCTTTCGTTCAATAAAGTCCAGTGCAATGGAGTTTTAACCACAGTAAAAGAATGCCATTTTTATGAGTTAATATGAATAGGCCTAATAAGAATTGATTAATATACAATGGATTTATATACAATATGAAGAATCAACGGATAATATAATAATAGGACTAGGCGTTTAACGTCACGAGGTGGAAGAAAATATATCAAACTCCGTGAGACTTCAAAAATCAGATAAAGGTTAATATTTGTTGTTATGTCAGGAAACAACGGGAGGAATATTAAACACAACATAAATAATCATGAATAGGCCTAGGCCTAATTATCAAAAACAAAAGTGAAGTGAATTATAAAATATTATTTTTAATGTTAAGATTCCCAAGAATAATAAGACCGTCAACAACAAGGAAAGTATAACGTGAGGAATAACATGAATAAATACCTTGAGAATCAGTACAGATATGATACAAAATAATACAAAATATCAGAAATTATATCGAGATAAAAAAAAAAGCCAGTCAGGATTCACTGGAAAATTACATGAAAACGTTAGCAGTCAGAAGAAAATATATTAAAAAACGATGTGATGGCCGTATATCGACAAAGTGTGTAAGAATGATGTCGATATAAGAAGCTGTAGAGTCGTATTGAAAAGTGCTTACTTTCTAAATGAGGACTGGTCATGCAAATTTACATTACTTGGGTTTCGACCAAAAGAACTCCATTCCAAAAACTTAGAGATTTAATTGATAGAGAATCTTATTAGCCTGAGAAGCAACGTAATCACAATGGAAATTGATGTTTAATTAACAACTCAAAAGAATAATTAAAGGTATCGTATTAGAAAATGTATATAATTATTAAAGGAACAGGTGTTCTCATATAGCGAACTCATTAATGGCATACTAGGCCTATGTTTAAAGTTTACAACAGTCGATAAAAACATTTTAGTAACGATAAGATAGGTGAGATAAAGAAACATGAAGAACTATACTTCCTATGTCTTAGTAAAACAGAACAATTTTTCGTCATTGTCAAAGTAAGATAATAAACTGAGAACTGGGTGTTGAAATTATAAAGTAAATCATTATTTAAACAATTATAAAGAAACATATACATGAAAAACAAAATTAAAATCATAATAACGAGAATTACGAAGTAAAACAAACGAAGATTAGGGAGACTGGAACTAGAGCGAAATGGTAATAGCGGTAACATCAATGACATGTGATAATGGTGATAATAATGATAACGACATTGGAAGTGATGATAATGTCGATGATGATGAAGGCAATCTTTAATTACAATTACAATTTAATCGTTTTCTTAAAAAATAATAACAATTATGATTGTAGCAATATACCAATTATTAGCATTGTAAGAATAAGTATACTTTACATTTTTGGAAATCATCATCATCACTTGGCTAGTTACAGCTAAATATATACATAGTATAGCTACCACAATGTAATGCGACAAACAAATCCCCGTGAATAACAAATGTTGGTGATACGTCGCATATATTTATCTTATTATAATGAATTCTCTCTGTCAAAGTTAAGTCATACAAATGCGCTAACATTTGACGAGTCTGGATGACAACAGTAGCTTATTTAAACCTGGTCTACTTGACTCCTTCTGCTTTGCGGATTCGATGGAAATGACGACGTCGAACGAAGGTAGCGACTTCGTCTACGATTGTTTCTTGGTTTTCCACAACACACCGCTCTAAAAGCTGCCCTAAATTTTGAAGAAATTGCGTTGTACAATATAGGGTTAATGGCAGAGTTTAAATAGATCATGACCCGTGCAAATATGACGATTCCATAAAAACCTGAAATGCCCACTGCCGGTATCATGGTTGTAGGACTGATTAAGACCCATAAATTGAGTATACGAAATGGCAACCAGCATATGAAGAAAGAAATGACCACGCAGATTAACATGAAAACAATTCGGATGTGGTGCTGACGCTGGTAGGACACGTTCGAGGGTGTTTTGTAAGCGTTGGGTCTCGTTAGTTTTGCAAGCGAAGATGAAGATTCCGGATTGGCCTTTACTATCGTCTGCGCGCTGGCGCTAACTTGAGAAAATCTTCTGTCCGAAGAAGATGTTTCGTTGGACGGATATTCAGGTAACGTATCGATATCACTGCAAACATTATTTTTCCTTAAGTTATTGGACTTCACATTTCCATTGCCGTTAGTGTTGGCGTGTGTTTCATCTCGAATCAGCTTTTCTCTACTTAATCTTCGACACGTGTTGGGTGCGTTATTTGCAGACGCATAGCCGTCAACTCCACAAATGCCCATCATTCGAAACCCAAGAAATACGGTCATTTCCCTCGTATCTTTTCTAACATTACTATCATCAGTGTAACCCTTTGTATCCTTAAAAAGCTTTTGTTCTCTCATAGAAGCAATAAACTCGTCATGTCTTCTTAAGGTTAAACCAACTTTAGCATAAATAACCGAGAGAAAAATAACTGGACAGAAGAAAAACAGAACGGGAACAGAGATGAAATAAGTTACTGAAAAGTAGACCTTGTCGAAAGAAAAGGTACAAGTGTACCTTATATCACCAGTTGAATCGACGCAGGGAATGTGTTTTGATAAAATGATGTGAGGTACGCTACTAATAGTGGCCACGAACCAAACGACACTGCACATGATGATGGTCCGACGGGCCGTGCACCGATAGCTGGCCTTCAGTGGTTTACATATGACGTAGTGACGTTCGATAGATATCGCCAAGTGCGTAAGGATTGTTGCCTGAGCGCATGTGTTCTCCATAAACGATACTAGAGTACCTGTAAAGTACAGAAATAATTATTATGATAGTTTAATCATTAAGTATAGAAAATGTATATATAATAATTAATTAAATTTTGCTGCGTAGGACTGTAGTATATTCATAATAAATAATCAAATATTTGCATAAGAGACAGTGCTGTAAAGAACAATGATGTAAAGATAGCATCGCGCATAGCCTGTCAACGTATATA